TTTTTTTTTTTTTTTAGGAATAAGTTAAAATGTCAATTATTTTCAAAAAGTTATAAATATATTTTAATTTGGTCAATAAAAATTATTAAAAACACTTGATTATTAATTAAATTTTCCTTGGATCAAAAAGTAATTTTGTTTCACTTTATTTTTAAAAAAATAAATAAAAAAATTGTAAGTTAAGAAAAATTATCATCGTAGGATTGAAGATTTTTTAAAAATATGATCTAAAATGAAGCAATGAAAAAATTGTGACTTTTTTTTGGGTCGCGACATGAACATATTTCACAAATTTGGGTCGCGGCTTAAAAAGGTTAAGAACCACTGTTTTAAAGATCAACCATATGTTAACATAGTTATATTAACATTTTGTTGGTAAATATTTGATTTTTAATTCAAAATTTGACATTGTGTAGTAATAACAATGTCGAAAGTTTCTTAATGTTACTCTTTTTCCAGAGATGATATTTCCTAAACTGTTTCTCCTTTTACCTTAAGAAAATCGTAAAAATAAGGGAATGTATGGGAAACATGTTAAATGTTGTATAAATAGAGGATATCAGTTTTTTTATTCATATGTGATTATTGGGAAGGAGAATGAAACTGTTTTTTTGTTCTGCACTGTGCGTGTTTCTAGTTGTAAAAGCAAACAAAAAAATTTAACTAATCTAAGCCAAAAAATCATTTAGTTAGATAGGAATTCTTTAAATATTTTAATTTCAAATTAGAAAAGAATAAAAATAAAAAATTTATCCAGTTTTTTTCTATGAGATATGTAATAAGAAAGTTGACAATTTTGCCTTTGTGACATTAATTTTTTAGTACTGCTTATCGTTCTTGAAAACAACATTGTTTAAACATTTGACTAGATATTGGTATTGACAGATATTGGTTTAAAGAAAATATGATCAATGAACTTCACAAAGAGTACTGTTTGGATTAAATAAAATATAAATAAATATAAAAAGTTATTAATGCGTAATCGCCTGAAATTATTGTTTTTTATTAATTATTTTTTTGTTTAATGAAAATTAGGGATGCAACAAATATTCGATTACTATTCGGCCAAGTATTTTTTGTCAAAGTTTTTATAGATTAAATAGAGTTAACTAAAATAGTAAACACAAAACTTTAAAAGAAAAAAAGTTATCAGAAGAGCTTTTAAAAATGCCCACAAAAAATTATACACAAAAGAGAAACATAAAAAATAAAAATTTGTCATAATTAAACTAAACTGATGGAATATCATATTTTAAACTGAACATCTCTTTTCCAATTATACTGTATTTTTTTAACATTTTAAAATAAGGGTAGAAAAAAGAAATAATTCTGATAGAAACTCTCTAAATTGCTCCATAATAAAACTCTTGATAAAAACCGAAGTTTTTTTTTAAAAAAAAGCTAAATCGAAACGAGAAAAAAAAATTTCTTAATTTTTAAAAGAAAATGTAAAGCTTTTTCAAGTTGTGGAGATCAAAAATAACGTTCTTCAGAAACACTCTTTAAAAAATGCTGTATCATAATAAAAACTTTGATAAAAAGTTAATAAAAAAAAGGCAAAAAAAAACAGAAAAAAAAGCATTCTAATTTCTTAAAATATAACCTTAAGGTTTAAAATCACAGCATTTTTTTTTTGTTACCAGCTATCTGTCTTACCGTACTAGAAAAAAGTAAAAATAAAATCCATCATAAAATGCTCAGTTAAAATGCTGTGATATAATTAAAACAGAAAAGAAAACAATCTAGATTCTTAAAACAGAAATTTTGCTCTTCCATTTATCTTCCACAACATAATTTTGTAAGCACATGAATATTAAAACTTAACAAAGATGTGTAAAGACTATATCTGATAATGGATAACAAAAATACTTTTTTTTTCAGAAAATACTATTTTCAGTATTAAAGTTTTGTCTTAAAAATTAAGAGAATATTTTTTGTTATTTCTCTGTTTCTTTTTTATTCAACTTTACAACTTCAGTTTCCTTTTTGTAGCTATTAGTTAGTTTTTATTTATCTTAAATATTTCTAATAGATAACTTTTATAATTTTTTCTCCTTACCCCACACTAATATAGCTTTTATAATTTTTTCTCCTTACCCCACACTAATATAGCTTTTATAATTTTTTCTTCTTACCCCACACTAATATAGCTAAGTTTTGATTAATTTTAAAAAAATGAATAAACTTATTTATATATAAAAAAATATACATTAATGATTTTTTTTTTTTAAGAAAAATGCTACTATTCGGCTACCAAATATTTGGTATTCAGACAATTTGTTTGGCCGACTATTCGGTATTCAGCAATTCTGCCAAATTACAGCCCTAATGAAAATATACTAACAATACTTGTCAAAGTTTTTTTTTTTTTTTTTTGANGTACAAATTATAATATGCTATTCGGTGCACTTTGTGCAAAAAATATATTCACGTTAAACTTTTTTTATTCAATCAAAACAATATATTTTACATGCTAAACATATTATTTTCTCCACATCCAACTTGTACCAAAATGTTAAAAATTCAAAAAAATAATAATAAAAAATATCTTGCTAAGTTAAAATAAATGTACTTTAATTGTTTTTTCAATATTATATATTAAAAAAATATCATTTTAAATAAAATACTCTACAATTTTTGTACTTTTATTGTAACCATCCCTTACTTTGTGAAAAAAAAAAACACGCTAACCTGGAAATTTTAAGATTTTTACCTGGAAAAATCAGGGAAATGTAAAACCTGATTTAAGTAGCCACCATGAAGGAAAAGGCACTTTGATTAGGGGTGTGGGGTGAATAATTTTGCCTTAATCTTGGCATAGGTCGTCGTAAGTAAACCAATTGAGAGCTTTCCTCCATTTCACCCCCAATAGAAGCGTGCTCTCGCTTGTTACTATAGTAGCAGACAGCCCCAGACTTTTATTTAGCCTGGAAGAGTTCTCCTCTAAGCCACACTATAAAGGTATTTTATTATATATTTCATATAAATTAATCAGGCAGAACAGGCGAATATATTAATAATTAAAAGGGAATTTTTTTTTCTGAGTGTTTGTGGTCTCTAAGTTAAGAAATAAAAATTGACTTCGTATGAAAGTGTTGTGGAAATATAAATAATAATGATTTAAAATTTGTTTTCAGATATGCTTCATACCTATCTAAGCATCAGTGGAATATTACTGTTCAACAAGAACTTACCACCTTTAGTTCATCCTGCGCTGAACATCAGTGAACGAGCGGCTCATTCGTTGTCTCACATTCATAAACAATGGATGCTCCAAAGTTGATAGAATACATATATCATTTTAAATTTCCATACACAAGCTTTAAAAAAATATAAAATGTGAGGAGTTTTTTTTTTTTAACTTTAATGGTTGGAGTGTATTAAAACTTGGTAAATCCATATTGGAAAAGTTTTAGAATAAGTTTTAAAAAAAGATGGAGCTTCAAATAAAAGTCATCAGCAACAGGGATGTACAGAAGATTCTGAAAATACATTTTGATGGATTTGACATGTTTTAATATCCAAAGACACAATTATTTTCATTTCTGTTAAAAATGAAATATTAATCCATAATTTATTTAAATATAAATAAAGTTATTTTTCTAAATGTTCTGCTTTTTTTCCTTGTTTTTACTGTTGTTTTTTTTTTTATAGGTTGACTTTTTTTTAGCAATAAATTAGCAATTTTGAATTTTTTATTCAAATATAATAGAACAGAATGACGATTTCCATCACAGATTTTTCATAGTTGTAGTTGGATTACAGTGTAAAAGCATTATAAAAAAAGTGTGATTACAGTGTAAAACTATAAGCATTTAAATACAGTTATAGCAATTTTTTAAAATTTTGTCAGTTTTTTTTTTCCTAATTTAATTTATTCAGTTAATTTTCAGGGTTCCTTAATATGTTTTTTTAATTCTTTATGTTATGGTTTTTCAAAATAATTTTAAGTCAAACTTTTCGAATCCAGAGTAATATATTAAAGGATAAAATTGGCTACCTCTAGAAATTATGGATTGTAAAAGATGGCTGGTATAAATTTTCTGGAAGTTTCATCCCCTTTTCCCTCCTCAGTAAATTACCAGTTTAAAAATCTCCGTATGTATCTAACCACCTAAACTAAGATAATGTGAAATATATAGTTATTTCAATGTTTCTAAAAACAGATAGTGTTTAGTGGTCTAAAACCTGTCAGAGCATTCTTTTTAGACAGAAAAATCATGATAGGATCCTTATTTTACAAAGATTTTTGGCTGTCATAAAACTACCATATATTCCTGTGTACAAGTCGATCCTTTAAAGCTTTTTAATACGAGATAGCAAATTTCTGTTATGTCTGTTGTATTAAGTTCACCGCTGAAAAAACCAAATATAATATGAAAATTTCTAAAATTAAAATATTTATAAAGAAATTATTAAGTCTACAGAATTTTTAAAAGTTAAAAATATTGAAACTTTTGAATAATTATCTTTTCTTATTTTTTTCTGAATGTAATTTAAAGTATTATTTCTACTTAAAAAAGAACCTTATAAGTAAAGAAAATATGAGAGAAAATGCAAAATTAATTATGTGTAGCATATTAAAAAGAAAATATGAGATTCTTCATAATTGTCTGATTATTTAAAAAACATTGATATTTCACGATCGACAAATAACGTGTGAGTGGACCCTCTGATTTTCGTAATTGGGTGTTTGATAAGATTACTTGTACACTGGAAATAGAAGTTATAATGGATTATTTATGTATCGCTTAATGGTTTTTTTATTGTTAAGATATCCCATTACATTTTTCTCTTCCATCATAACAACTGATGCATTAAGTCCCATTTGCTATTTTATTGATGCAATGTTGATTAAAATGTTTGCACTGAACCATTCATTCCAATACAGCAACTGAATTTTAGATTTAAAAAAAAGGTTTTAAGAAATTATTCAATTCACTATTTTCTTTGTTACCAGGCAGAAATGTAACTTTGAATCACTTTTGTATAAAAATAAAAAAAAAACATGACATTTGTATTTCAAGTACTAGGTGCAGGCGTGATAAAAAACAACAGTTTTCTGGTTTAAACCAGGCTTTTTGGTTTTGACCATGTAAAAAAAAAAGAGTATCTACTAATACTTAAAGCTCTTATTTGAAATTAACCAAACCATTTTAAAGTATTTCAGAGTATTTAACTATTAATGTATTCAATGTACAATTCAAAATATCAACTTCTGTACATTAAATATTCTTACATAATAAAATAAGGAGAGCCGAATGCTTTCATATTACTCCACTTTTACATGCAAAATAATCACTCAACATTTATAATTTATTTTAGTTATTAATTAAGAGTGATTCCTCATCTCCTTTCTTATCTGTTCCTGTAATATAATATAATTCTATATTTCAGCATTATTTAATAAATATCATTATTTAGCTGTGTACAAATTATAATATTAGTTTTAACTAAGTTTTATGAAACATACATTTCTTGTTCTTTTAATCTATTGAATCAATACAAATTTTAAGGCAATATGTTGTATATATGTAAGTATAATAATGATTAAAGATACTTGAAAATTAGGAAATGAAAATGTACAAAAATGTCATGGATTTATAAAAAATAGTAAAAGTAAGTTTTAGTACTAATAGTTTAATAATAAATGCAGTATAAACTACTTTTTTCATTTATTTTAACATAATAGAGCTTTAAATTTAATAATTTCAGAGTTTGTAGTTGTCATAAAATTTCTTTTGTCCTAATATTTCTGACCTGTATACGTGTTCAGAACATCCAATTTTTTTAATAAAAACTATGTAGTTCTTAACCCATTAGATGTTGAGACTTGCCATGCATGTTTTTCATATAAATAAAAAGTGGTGACCAATGTATTTCGCTATCAGAAAGTAATAATGTCTTTTTAATTACCACATCTTATAGTATAGTATTTAGTGTAGGTATCAAGTTAGATTTGGTGACTAATCAAATCAACTAAAAAATAAAAAAAAACTATACTTTTTTATCAAAAACTTTCTTTTAGTTTTAAATTTGGCTGTTGTCTCTTAGTTTTCATAAATCACCAAGAAAATTACTTTCAAGCTTATCTTCACTGTATTTTTTGTTTCAGTATTATTGAAACCATACTTTGAAGTATTTTATTAAGGAGATCATTGACTCGATTGAAAATTTTAGATATCGTATACCTCTGAGTATAAGTCGAAGTACTAATCTCTGTGTGTGTCTACTTTAAAGTATTTTATTAAGGAAATCATTAACTCCATTGAAAATTTTAGATATCGTATATCTCCCTGTAAAAGTCGACAAATGAAAATAGTATATTTATATTTATACTCGGATGATACTCGATTAAAAAGAAAAGCACGTTCTCTCAAAATAAATTAAATATTTATTTTTTCACAAGAAAACATCAGAAATATTCAAAACACCACTTTTTGAAAACTCTTAACTGACTTAAGATACCAACAAAACATTTTCCCTTTTGCAACATGCCCTTTGGAACATTTATGTTTTCAATGTCAAACTTCAAAAAAGAATCAATGCCCACATTGATGTAAATACATAGTTTTTAATTAAATTATCATTTATGAACATCAAAAATCATTTGTGTTATACAGCATTTGACATAATTACATAGTATTTTGCTTTTTGAATCCATAACCCACATTTCCAGTGGATCAATTATTTTGTCAGAAAATTTGAAACCCATTATATACTGGCTCAATCTATTAAATGTTTGAATGTCTAATAATTGTGGTACAATATTAATACATTCTATAGTCCCTTTGTTACACACAAGATTTATTTCAAAAGATGAGGGTAAATTCTGACTATTCCACATGGAAAAGGAGGGACATATGGGGAAAGATTTGGTGACGGTAAAGGATGGTGTGTGACCAAAGCACCAACTCCAGCTCATCAGATTCTCTTGTATTTTATTTAAACCAGGAAAACGTTCTTCCGTTGGATACACGCTTAGAACCTCCTTCACCTGCAAACAATCATTCAAATCACTATTTGGCATCTCTTTTGGTTCATAATATTTTAACTTTTTTATCAGGAATGGTATTTCTCATAAAAGAAACCGATTTCTTCTAGGACACTAGATAAAATGGAAGAAACTAAAAATCATATAGCAATAAGTATTGTAAGAGTGTCCATATTACATCTATCTTTATGTAGTTGATTTGAAATTTCTATCGTTTAAAGTTTTTAATTTATGAACATAAAATCAGTAAAATTTAAAAACATTTTCACAAACTTCATATATTCATGATAAAATAACTTGTTTCTGATAAATATTGCAGAGAAAATTGGGAAAATTATGCATTTTTTGTAATTTAGAACGACAATCGACAATGCAAAGAAAAACTCTCTTTTTAAAAGATAGAAAATGAAGCACTTTTTACAAAAGCAAAATAAAAAAAGCGCATTTAAGAGCTTTTAAAAAATGTAAATCAAAAATAAGCACTTTTTTAAAACGCTATGCACCCTGCGAGTGTAGTGATCAAATCAACGAGGTTGAAGAAGATTGAAATGTCGATCTTAGTGATGACAAAAGGCAAACATTGCTAATGAAATAGCTGATGATGATAGCTACAAAGATGATTGATGGGTTCTTCCAAATCATGTGACATTGTTAGAAGCTTCAGACACCATTTGTAACTATTTTTTTAGTTCAACTACTAAACAGACTTTAGCAGTTTCATTCTACTACTGAAACTTCCCTTTCCATTTGTATGAATTTGTAAAATAAAGAACTGTAACAAATTTGTGGGAAAAAACAAACATATATCGCTCCCACTCAATTTCAAAAACAAAAAAAATGTAAAAATTTCCTGATTTAAATTTTGTTCAAAAAATTTACAAATGATTTGAATTTCACAGTTATACAACTATCTTATTGACTTGTATTCATTGATCCTAAATAAAATTTATAAAACCATCATAAATTTTAATTAATTTTCTATACAAAATATATTTTTAATCTATATTATACAAATATTTGTTTGACTGATAATCAACACATTCAAAAACTTTTATTGTGACTTAAAAAAATGACATGCACCAGATATTAATAAACATTGCCAACTCTGACTGGAACTGTTTTAATTTTAGAATATTGCACAAAGCTTATGTCTGACCTATAAAATATGCATCACACTTACATGATAAGTTAATTTATAGTTGTCTGCAACAGTTTTAATGACATCTCCAACATTAATGTCTCTGCACACTGTTTTTAAATTAATTACCTCAGCTTTAGTACTGGCTGTAGCTTTACTCTTAATGCAGTTCTGTAAAATAAAAACATAAAATAAAATAAGTCCTAAAAAGGTTTAAAAATTATTAAAAACCATTAAGAAAGAGCAAAACTTTCTAGATCTCTGTGAAGCGCTTGATGCAATTTGATTACATCCACATCAACCAGTACAGTGCAATGATGATAAGTAGCAAATTTGCCAACCTTGGAAGCAGTGCCTGAAACATAACGCACAATGTCAAGGAAGCACATACACATCACATGAATTCGAACAATGTTTTTTACTTTTCTTTAACAGTGATTCTTGTAAAATGCAAGATTTAACATAATGCAGAGTGCGCAAAATAATAAAATGGAACTCCACGTTTGATCTAATGATGAGATTTTCATGAGACTCACACAAGAAGAAAGTCTTCCTCAACCAAATTTTAGACAATTGGATTAGATAATAGTTTGGTTACTATTTCTAGATAGAAACTATACAATTAATTCTTTTTAGAATAAAAAACATAATTATTTTATATCCTTACGGTTAAACATATATAGTTCGCAGAATAAAAAAATTATATCACTTTTGTACTAATCATTGGATTATCACAAATCAAGTTATCTTATACTAAGATAAATACAAAAAAAAATGATAAAATAAAAGTATACAAATTTTCAAATTGTTTAAAAGCACTTAATTCTAAATGACAGAATTTAAATGAAACTAGTCAAATAGTTTCTGTGTTATCAAACTATTTAAGGTCATATTATTTCAGACACAACTGAACATTTTAAACAATTACAAGAGAACAAGAAACAAAAGAAATTTACAAACTTTTTTCAATAAAGTTACTTATTGTTTTTAATAATGAAATTGAAACATTGTAATATATATTTACAGTAATCTAAATTTTGGTTGACCATCTCAACATGCTTTATTCATTTATCCGATTAGTCACAGTATTTTTTTTATCTTCCCATGAATGCAAAGCACAGCACAATAATTAAGGTTGGGGTTTTGGACGTCCTAAACTGGTTTTGGACAGAGCACATGGGTTTCACTGTCTTAAATTGTCCTAAACTGACTAAAACTGTCCAAAAACTTGAACATTGGTAAAAGGTGAAATTTCCATATGTGTGACACATAATAATTACATATAATAATATATATTTGATACTTCATATACAATTTGCTTAAACTTATTAAAAGAAAATAATATAATAGAAAAAGATTTATAAACTTTCGAAGCTCCACATTTGAACAACAAAAGTGAATACCTAATCCTTTAAATATGAATATATATATGCTTTTAATACCTACTGATAAATTATGTTTTCGCATAAGGATAAATAATGTAATATTAAAAATAATAATTAACTTTTTTAATAAAACAAAAAATTGTCTTCATTTTGTTTCTTGTTTAAAAATTAATATTTTTTTTTTTTTAAATTATGACATAATTTGAGAAAAAGGTTTTAAGAAAAAGGGATTTTGGACAATACGGATGAAACCGTGGACTAATCCATTCTGTCCTAAACTTTGCCAACTCTGATTAAATTTGAAATTGCAACATTTAAATTAATGAATTTTTATACCAGACACTTCCAGTTATTCCATTTGAATTTCATACCATAATAAAATTAGTGCAACAAAAAAAAATTTTTAATGCATCAAATTTAATGGACTAAAAAAAAACTTTTTTCGTTAATATTTTGAAAATTTCAATCATATTTCTAGGCGACAAATTTGATGCTTATGCATATGATTTCAGAGACATTTGTATAACATTTGGCAACAATTGATGCCATAATGCAGTGAATCCTACTTATAAATTAGGAAATTACCTGAATATCAAATCCATGGGTATCTTTAGCATGAAATTTTTGTAGATGATAAAATTATCGCAGCTCTTTAAATTGCACATGCATAAAAAAAATATCTGATTCATATTAATATCAGCTAGAATTGTTTTTAAATTTCATATTTATTTTATACTTAACTAAATTTAAATTGATAATGATTCATGTGAGCTTTATTTATCTGAAATATTAGACAGAATTTTACAGTTTTATAAATATTGAGGGTGACTTATCATATTGGTATCTAAATTATGAATTCCATCAGTAAGATATATTTTTAATGAAAATGAATTTCTTTTTTAAGAAAAAGGATACTTTGTATTTTTCATCACAGAGAATGTCATCTCTGCCAGAAACACTCAGCTTTATAGGCCACTTACTTAAAATAGAATTTACAATAAGATTTAGATTATTTTTACGATTGTAATATTTTCTAGATGCATAAAAAGAAAAGTTAACATTCCCATAATCATGGTAGACAGTACCACCGCCACTATTTCGTCTGGCAATACTTATACCACTTGCTTTACAAAAATCGAGAGAACACTCCACCCAGGGATTCTGATGTCGGCCAATTATGACAGAGGGTGCATTATACCACAACAAAAGGATAAACGCATCTTTAGATTTAAAATCTAAGTTTTTATACAACCAGTCCTCTAATGCCAAATTTTCATAAATATTCCGAGATTCTGATAACAAAATTGAGTTCTGATTCGATAGTAGTGTATGGTCATAACTGTTATGTCTGTAACTTTTTACCGCAGCATACAGATTTAAAATTTTTAAATGATGCATAATCTTAGATATTGTTATAACGTTCATCATTCAACTTTACTTTTTAGTATAAATTATAGTGTTTGCTATATGAAAACTCAAGCCGTCAGGAATTTTAATATTTTGAATGAAAATTACTTCTTTTTAAAATTTTAGCGCAATAATTTAGGCAATTTGGTGTTTTGTTTTGTGGGATGATGTTATACGTTTATGTTGTAAAATAAATGTTGCTTATAGCTTGCATAGATAAATATAGATTCAGACAACGCTTTTAGCAGTTTCTCTGGGATTAACATAGCACAGAAACGAGTAACCGAAAGTGTATCAAGTAAATAAACAAACTTGATTATTTCAATGGGAAAATGAATATACCCATTAGATCTCCAACAATATTAAAACATTTATTGTTATAAAAATATTTATATTTTCGATAAAGTTGTTATATTTTTTCCTATGTAAACATTTATCGTTATCTTCCTACGTTTGGGACTTTTAATGTTCTGCGGCTGTTTTCATGATACGACCAAAGATCCTGTTTTGTACAACTTGCAAAGTAAATCTATTCTAATGCTAATTCTTTTTCAAAAAAAAAAATTGCTGAATTGTGCTATTTCTTTTTAAACTCATCGATCCATTGAAATATTTAATAATGTCCATGATATTTATAATCCATGACATCAGATTATATAACCTTGTTTCAAAGAGGAGAGCTTCTCTCTCCCCTGATTCTCTTTCTCTCACTAACCAGAGTTAAAATCTGTTTTAAATAATAACCCAACTCTGCTGTAGTTAACCCTTGTAGCCATGGACACCGTCACTGCACTAGACAAACGGGAGTTCATAGACAGGATAGACTATATTTGAACTAAAACAAGCAATCTATCTTTACAAACTAATTTTTACATCAGCATATTAGTCTAAAATTTACGAAAAAATAGCATTTCAAAATGAAGCTTTTTGAAGCATTCAGAAAGACAGCGTATGCATCCCCCCCCTCCCCATTAATTTAATGTTTGTAATTGAACTTCATTCTAAAATCTGTTTTTTATAAATAAGAACTCTTATATTAATAAAAAATCTCTTAAAAAATTCAAATATTTTTATTTATTTGCTTAAGAACTTGTTTGTTTGAAAATGATGTTTATTATTTCACTAATATAGTGATGTGTTATATATTTTGTTTACTCTTTTATCTATCTTCAAAAATTATTAGTTAATAAAAATCTTGGATCTTATTGCCATATTTTCGGTGATACCTTTCAATCTTGAAGTCTGCGTCACAATTTAAGAAAAATTGAATTGTTTTAATGGATTTGAAGAGTGATGTTTATCGACTATATCGACCTTCATTTATCAAAAGGTACCTCTTAATGGAATCAAGGTAACATGTCTTATATACTAGTGATTAAGTATTTAATATTTGTAGTGGTAGTTATGCCACATTCCCAGAATTTTATCTGTGATAGAATTTGATGAACGAGTACCACTAGTTGATTTATGCTGATTTTTTTTAATATCATATTTGCTCCTTATTTTTTTTCTTAATTTTTTTCATATCATTCCGCTCATTTTTTTTTTCTTCAATTTTTGTTTATTGACTAGGAGAATTTCATTTACTTCACCAGATTTTTTTTCTTCATTTTTTTTTATAGCATTTTCCTAATTTTTTTTCTCCCTTCAATATTGTTTATTGGCTGAGAGACTTATTTACTTCACCTGATATATATATTTTTTACTCTGAGCAGTATATTTTTAAGCAAATCAACTGTTTAATGTGGACTATCGATCAATGTTAGCAAATTCTTATCACGTCCGCAGGTCACCATTCTTCAGACAACGAACTTCAATGGAACAAGTGACTTCTTTCATTCATGTTTTTAAAACTACAACTCTTTGAAAGACAAATTTTTGTTTCTTTTCAAAATACCTTTTATTGCATTCTGTCTCTATTAGAAAAGAAAAAACTGAATTACTCGAAATTTTAGTATCATTAACATATGAGTAAATTTTTTGCAATAAAAAAGTTAGAGGCCATTGATTTTTGTGATTTTTCATAAAGTTGCAAAAATTTACCACTCACAAAAAGTTTCTTTACACCTCTCATTTTTGCAATTATTCCCCCCCCCCCTAAAATTNCCCCCCAAATGCACCTTTCATGAAAAGTTTCAATACAACCACTAGTTTTCGTGATTTTTCACAAAATCAAGATCTTTTTTTGCAGAAATTTAAAAGTTAGGGATAAATTTTTTACAACTAAACAAAAAATTGAGCCTTTTCACAAAAACCCTTAAATTATACCACTTGATACCCAAAACTTTTTCACCAAATGATCGGATGTTACCCTTGCAGTTATCCGATCATTTGATTGAAAACTATTCATGGTGCACTATTCTTTATTTTGACTTACAATAAGTCAAATATTTAATGCTTCAATGTTAACTTTTCAAAGTACTATTTTAGTGTAACTGCCTGTTTTTAAAATTTTGCGGTTTTTTATTGAAAATATATTTGTTTCTTATTTGAAATAATGATGCTTTAAGAAGTTAACTTAATTATTAAAATTTTAAGTGAAAAATTTAATTGAAGATTATAAGTTGAGAAGAAGAAAAAAAGAAAACAGTGGCGAAAAGGAGCTAGGGTAGACAACTTTTATGAATTTTCCCTAAGAGCTCACAAATTATTTTAAACGTATCTTGAATTTTTTATTAATAATTAATTAATTTTCTTCATTTTGAATGATAAAAAAGTTAATTTGGGTGTATATTTTTATGATAGTCTTTTTTTATACACACTAGCCCCAATATCATGGATGTAGTGAGGACAAGTCAAAAAGTCAATTATTTTATCTATTGTTATATGTCAAAAAGAAAGTAAAATTAAAATGGGACTATTTTTGATCAAAAAATGTTGTCTTGAGTAAATAATCTTTACATGGTTTATTTTAGTTAATAATGAAGCTTAAAAGATAAATATGAACTAAACTTTGCTCTGCTTGATGAGTGATTTTTTCTTGAATAATAAAGTAATGGAATATATGGATTATCATATTTTATCATTTTTTATTATTATTTAACATAGCTGATTTACAATAAGAGAGTTTAAGCATTACAGTATGTACACTGATTAAAACAATTAACGGGAGAAAGGGCTTATTAAAAAAAAGAGATCTTGCAATGACCGCGTTCGTCAGTGGTGCTGTGATCGTGTTTGTGTATGGTTGCCTCATTTACGTGCCAAAGCTTATAGCGAAAGGACATTTTGAAACATTGTATCTGATCCCGATTCTTGTTTTTTGAATTTCTTTGTTTACCCATCACTAATATGGTCAGGATGAACCAGTTAAGGTGTGATTCTGTAGAACAGTGTTTCCCAAAGTGTGATACGTGTACCGCCAGGGGTACGAGAACAGTTTAGCAGGGGTACGTGTTCTTATGTGAAATATCTTGCAGCAAACGAGAATTTCAAAACATTTTATTTAGAAGCAAAACTAGCCATGAAAATTTACGATTACGTATTGTTCTTTGGCTATTTTTTGAAGAGTTAACAGTTAATACACTGGTTATCATAAATTAAGGAAAAATCACAAAAATAGCGATAACTCTTTCAAAAGTAAGCCAAACCGTGCAAAATTTGCATATGTTGTCCACTAAGAGTAGCTGAGTAAAATTGCAATATGCAAATTAGTGGCGCTGCACTCGGCTTANTATGGATTATCGTATTTTATCATTTTTTATTATTATTTAATGTAGCTGATTTAAAATAAGTGAGTTTAAGCATCACAGTATGTACACTGATTAAAACAATTAGCGGGAGAAAGGGCTTATTAAAAAAAAAAAAATCTTGCAATGACCTCGTTCGTCAATGGTGCAGTGATCGTGTTTGTGTATAGTTGCCTCATTTGCTTGCCAAAGCTTATAGTGCAAAGACATCTTGAAACATTGTATCTGATACCGATTCTTGTTTTTTGAATTTCTTTGTTTACCCATCACTAGTATGGTCAGAATGAACCAGTTAAGGTGTGATTCTGTAGATCAGTGTTTCCCAAAGTGTGATACGCATACCGCCAGGGGTACGAGAACAGTTTAGCAGGGGTACGTGTTCTATGTGAAATATCTTGCAACAAACGAAAATTTCAGAACATTTTATTTAAAAGCAAAACTAGCCATGAAAATCTACGATTACGTATTGTTCTATTGGCTATTTTTTGAAGAGTTAATAGTTAGTGGTGTCAACATCTAGTTGTGATTTTTATGCAATTTTTTTTATCACAGCAAAAACAATATCATCCTTCATCAAACCTTCTCACTGATGCAAATAAACATATTAACAAAACTTGTATTAAAAAAAAAAAGATATTTTTTTAAAAATACATTAATTTTTTTTATTAGTGGTACACAGCATTACGAAAAATTTAGAAAGGGTACACAAAAGTCATAAGTTTGGGAAATACTGCTTTAGATCTGTGGTTCCCAAACTTTTTTGACCCTTGGACCCCTTTTTATAGTCAAAACTTGCCCACGGACCCCCAAGTGAAAAACTGCATATATTGTACGGTATAAAAATTACAAATTTTAAAATAAAAAACAAAAAAACAATTTTGTTGAGGAACAATTTATTGAAATTATATCTTTTGTTTAAAATAAAATAAAAAAATTTATGACTTGGATGAACGTGATGGGATTTTAAGAGTGTATTTATGTCCGGCTCAATGTTTGTGAGCACTAATTTCAAATAATTTATTTATTATTATTTTATTTTTTTTGTGATGAGGTTCATTACGGCACTGAAATTGAGAGAACAATGACCTCTTCCCAAGTTTTGTTTATACAGAAAAAGTTTTGCCACAAAGGCAGTTTTACGGTTTTAGTTTTGATTAAATTTAATTGTTCATCTTGTAGTTTCAAATTAGTTTCGTTAAGTTTGGCAAATGTACTGAAAATACATTCGCTGCAGCTTGTTTTAAGTTAGCCAGAAAACCTCGGTATCTTCCTACCATTGCCGGAGCATCATCAGTAGCTACAGAAATTATATTAGTCAAGGGAATAGCTTTTAATTCTGTCAATAGCGTTTCACCTTTCGTATTGCTTTCCAAACATTTAGCAAATAACAATTCTTGGTAAAATTTTTATTCTTTTACAAATCTTACATAAGCTAAAAGTAAAATCTTCGTTTCCTGGATAAGTGGACTCGTCAAGATGTAAAGAAAATTCTGATATTTTTAAGTACTCACATAAAGAATTTTCTAGGCACTGAGATATTTTGTCAATCCTTCTTTGTACATTATTATTACTCCGTGGAATTCTTTTTACAATGTTTAAAGCTGGTTTATGCAACCCGGTGAGTATTATCTCACTTACAGCTAGTAAAATAAGTCCTTCAATAGTGTGAGGCTTGCAATCCTGTAATATATAGAAACATGCGAAATTATGAGAAACATGCAATCCATCGTCACCTCGCTTAGATGTTGTCCCTATAAGTTGTTGCAGTGACAGCGTTTTCAGATATTTTTCTTTGACTGTTTCAAAAATAGTTAAATCTTTATCTTTTTTGTCA